CTTATGTATCTGAGGCTGAGGATGACCTTCAACTCTGGGTCCTCCTGCCTCCTCCTCCTCCAAAATGCTGAGATTATAAGTGTATGTTGCCATACCCACTTTCAAGAGTGCTGAAGATCCAACCAAGACCTTCTTGAATACTTGGCAATTAATTCTATGAACTGAGCTAAATAAAGCCACAGCCTGAAAAAAAAATGAAGACAAATGTAAAGCTCGACCTTGAAACTTGTTCAAGCAGAAATGGGAATGCCAGGGGACCACCACATAAAAAGAGAAGAAAAGATGATCAGACATAACTCACTGATGAGTTAAAGTGAGAAGCTTAAACATGTCTTAAAAACTGATGGATCTGGGCTGGAGAGATGGCTCAGAGGTTGCTCTCTAGTTGCTCTTCCAGGTCCTGAGTTCAATTCCCACCAACCACAAGGTAGCTCATAACCATTTTTAATAAGATCTGGTGCCCTCTTCTGGCATGCACACAGAACACTGTATGTGTGTGTGTGTGTGTGTGTGTATATATATATATATACACACACACACACACACATATATATATATGTACATATACATATATACATTTTTTAAGTGAGATATTTGGGTTTTCTGGAGGAAATTCCTACTTTCCAGTTTTTAAAAATATGTTGACAGCATTAACACAAATTCATAACCAGATTCTCTTCTAAGTAAATGAATTATCTAAAAAATAACCTAGGGTTTATGGAAGGTTAATTTTATTGGCTTCTTTTAAAAATACTAGGTTGGTACTATGAAAGACTTTGTTCCTAGCTGTAGCCAATAGTAAAACTGGAAACAGAAACATACACTGAGGAAATGGAGCTGCTAACTTATATAAACTTAAGGAATCAATAGGGATTTGTCTCTCAATTATGAGAATAGCTAACTATATCCAAGAATGATTTTCATCAGTCATACCCAGACATCTTATGAGAAGGCCTAGTACCTTTTCAAGTTTCAGAGTTGTCTCACTAACAACTCTCAGTAAGACCCAAGATTCAGTTACATGCAGTTTTCTTCTCCAATCCTGATGAGATTCTATGGGCACACAGAGGCATATATCCTTCCAAAGCCAAGGGAGAAACAAAACAAAACAACAACAACAACAAAAAAGACAAGGGTTCTTTGCAAGGGTCAGTATTTTCCCTAAGAGAAAGCCTTTCCCTCTGCATTGGTAAAGTGGATGGGGGGGAGAGGAGTTTGCTTTTTCTATCTTTTAGCTCACAAAAGTTGTATACCTGAAGACTCTGACCTACTAGGGTGTATGTATATGTACTCATATATATATGTGTGTGTGTATATATGTGTATATATATATATATATATATATATATATATATATATATGTACTCATATACTCAGTATATGAGTAGCAGGGAGTCTTAACAAACTTGTGACAGAAGGTTAACATGCTTAGAAAGAATAATATTGGCTGGGCGTTGATATTCTCCTGTAATCTCAGTCCTCAGGAAGCTGACACAGAAGTTAGGACTAATTCAAGGCGAGCCAGTGCTATATAGTGAGATCCTGTCACAAACAACTCCACACATTTAAAATTTCCAAGAACAAAACATAAAAGCAACAACCACAAACCTAACACTGTAAGCCTCGGATAAATGAGGTGGCCAGAGCATTGTAAAGGACTTGTAATATTAAATGAGGCAAATACACAGAATCACCATTATCTGTAGAAAAGGAAATGTTACACCTATGTTTCCTTCTCAAAAAAGAGGTGGACCCCTGTGTTCTCTGCAAGTGGCCATTAGGACAGGCTCTGAGGAGGCTCCTGTAAGGGCATACTGAGAACTTAGGAGATGATTCCAATGTTGGAAAAGTCATGTTCTGTTAACAGGAGAAACGGATTTGTCTAGCTATTCTCTCTGAACAGGAACACCAGACTCATGAAGAAAATTAACACAACACAACCAAACAAATAAAATAATAAAATAAAATAAGATATACAAGGTTCAGCTGGACACAATGGCACTTGTCTGCAATCCCAGACTTGGGGGAGATAGAGGCAGGTGACCTCTGTTGAGTTCAAGGCCAGCCTGGTCTACAGAGGACAGCCAAGGCTACAAGAGAAACCCTGTCTCGAAAAACAAAACAAAACAAAAACAAAAACAAAAACAAAAACAAAAACAAAAAAAAAAAAAAAGGAGGGGAGCACATGAGATTCTTAAAAACAAACAAAAACCAAATAAAAAAAATGTGCAAGGTTCAGGAAGTAATAGAAAAAGAAAATTCAGTAAGCTCCTGAACTCTGACTTAACTCTTCCCCACAACCACACACACAGGGGCCGCATGTTTCTCAGCCTGGCCTAGAATGTGGATGAGGATGACCCTGAATTCCTGACCCGCCTACAAAAGCAGTTAACAGCTGTGGAAAGAACACTCTCCACAGGTCAAGCTGCCTTCTGGTTGTGGAATGAGCTCCAAAATTTCAGCTTTTGTGAAATGTCAGCCATGCTGGAGTGCATACAGTGGGCTTTTCAAAAATGCTGCCACTGCCTCTGAGCTACCCATGTTTCTTAGGAAACACCAATGAACATTATGGTTCACTGAGTTAGACTTGGTTACAATCATTTCTTTGGTCTGTTGTCAGCTTATCATAAGGGGTGAAGAGATAGTTGTTCCTTGTTTCCTCGGGAAAAGCCACACAACTTCACTTTAATTTGGTCCTTTCCATTTCACAGACATGTTTATAAACACTGTAACATGGTTGCTGCTTTTCCTTTCCCACAGAACGCCTGCCTTGGCAGCCCTAGCCTCCAGCATACCCTCTCACCTGTCTGACGATGCTCTGGATGAGTTTGTCCATAGTAAAGGCAATGTAGGCGTGAATGGTGAACATCTCTCTCAGTGAATCTTCATATTGTGATGAGTCTATGTTGCCATCAAGCAGGCTCCGCACCATGTCCAGGAAAGCTGGGTAATAATCTTCTACATCAACATCCACTATAAGAAAGATTAGATAGGTAAGACCTTACTCTGCTAAGACAAGCTCAAGTACAGAGAACAGGGAATCCTGTAACTTAGAGCATCTTAAAGGACAAACACCAGATATGTAAAACATGTCCAACTCAATGCACTGCAGAGATGAAACCTGATAGGCTATAATCACCAGAACTGTCCATCCCAGAATAAACAGTGACCTGTAAATTCTAACAGTAGCTTCCAACACCACCTGACTATGCTAGAGAGACACTTTATAGCACTGCTAAGTTCTGTGTCACCTGATAGCAAAATATGCGAAGAAGGTCCTTCAAGTTGCTGGCTCCTCCATTTACACCAAACTATTTCTTGAAGGGAACCTTGCTCATAAAGCTATTTCAATGAAGAATAAAGTAGAGACAAGAAAAGGCAGGCATAGTTACATGCTTCCACACTTGAAAAACTCTTGACTATAGAAGTTAGGCAAATTAACCCCTCTAGGAATAACAAAATAAATCTGAATGTATCAAAGTCCTTTGGTTTAAAATAGATTTGCAACACTGTACCCTACAAATTAAATTGAATGAGTTGTACTTGTTGCACACAAAGCACTTCAACCAATAGCTGGTGCAAGTCTTACTAGCAACATAGCAACTAGACTGGGCACTAGGAATAAGGTCTCCTGAGCCTACTGAATAGCACACACTGATAAGAGTCCAAAAACTAAACTCAACTATCTTATGGCACATGTCTAAATCCCCAGGAGATTAAGGCAAGAGGCCTTCTGGAAGTTTGTACATAACAAGTTCCAGGTTAGTAAGCATTTTATAGGAGAAGACCCATTCTCAAATTATTAAAAAAAAATTATTTCTAAGTCTGGAAATCAATAGTGGCACAAGGAGGCTACTGGGTCTTGGCATTATGGTTTTCTTTAATTTCTTTTTTGACTAAAGTGTGCTCGTTATAGAAAAATAACCAGAGCCATAAGATTCTATTTGTGGGATGGGGAGATAGTTCAGTGGACAAGAGCACTTGCTCCATAAGGGGCCCCAACACCCATATAAGAACCTGGCTATGAGCATGGGCAGAGAGGATCCCTAGGGTCTGCTGACCACTGACCCACCTCCAGGCTCACTGAGACCCTGTCTCAGAGAATAAGGGTCAGAAAAATACTAGCGATACTCCATGCCCTCCAGCACCCATGCACAGATACATATTCTTATTTGAGTCCTTTTTTTGCATATATGTTGCACTTCAATAAAAATTTTATCAAGTGTCAATTATTTAAAAAAAAAAAAAAAACAACTCTTTTCATTGATTACTAGCCACTTAATTTTAAGGCAAAACAAAGGGAAGCACACACCCAAGTAAAACGGGGTAGATCTTAGAAAACAAACAAACAAAACAAGACAGGGTTTCTCTGTGTAGCCTTGGTTGTCCTGGACCAGCTTTGTAGATCAGGTAGCCCTTGAGCTCATGAAGTTTCATCTGCCTCTGCCTCCCTGAGTGCTGGGATTACAGGCGGGTGCCATTGTACCCAGCTAAACATTACTGTTTAAATAAAGCTACTGGCTTGAATTTTTCACAGAACATCATCTTGTCACGAAACAGGCTATGCTAGTATAATTCAGAGTCCATAGTTTGTAGCCACAAACTATGACTGGCATGAGGGATGGCATTATCACTCAAGAACAAGCTATTGCAGCATAAGTCCAGGTTAAAGGAGTGACCAAGCCTGGATCTAGCCATTGTGTTTGTAATTTTCTACTAAAACAGAAGGAATCACCAAACCTAAGGCCCAAGTTGTTTCTTTCAAGCTATGACTAATACAGATAAAGCTCTTCAAATAGATTCCTAGTGCCTTTAGTTCGACAGGTAAAAAACTAAGGTAATACACAGGACTCCTACATGAAGAGCACAGAAGGGCAGCCCGGCATGGCAGAAAGCACATGGCCGCTTCCTTAATGAGCCCGTGGCTATCCCTTTCTTGAATTGTCTCTATGTCTCTGCTGTGCTTCACACTATCATGTGCCTTTTCAATTCCTTTTCAGAAAATATTAGAAATGACCCACGAAGCCCATGAAGGAGAAGCCTGCTAACACGCAGCTGAGGAAATTCCTATTTGTCATAAACACGAACAACAAGAAGTTTCTAAGTTTTTATGGAATGGGATGACTACGACATTTCTTCTCCTCTGAAACACTGCTCATTAACCTAGCCAAGGATTCCCTCATCCCTCATGTGTTCACAGTGCCAAGACCCCATATGTCCACAACCTGGGTACTACAAAAGGTGCTATGTATGTATCTGTTCCCTAAGCCCTCAAGCAACCCCATAAAGTAATAATTACTCCATTGTATTGGTTCATTCATGAGTTCACAGGTTTAAGGAATGTCATACCAGTTAAGTTACAGAGGTAGTATATGAACCCTCATTCTAAGGCCCAAGTGCACCTGCAAGTTTAATGAGGCCTTGATGGCAGTCATCCACCCAGCATAGGTTCTGAAAGCTGACAGTGTAAGTACTTACTAGGCTCTTTGAGACGTAGCTGTATGGCAGGGCTATCACTCTTGTCTCGCTTTATGCCTAGCACCTCCCGTTCCCATTCTCTCTCACGGTTTTCTTCTTCAATTTGCCGCTCAGCTTGGGAACAAATCCGTAGAAGCCTCAAGCAGAGAATCTGATGCAGTCGCATAAAGATATACCAGTTGTTATTCACATAGAAGAGGTTATATACTTCATCCATCCCTCTTAACTTTTGAGCTGCTGTGTTACTAAATAACAACTTGGACTTTGGGGGGGCTGCCCCCAACACCATTGTGTTTTTTAGGTGCCCCTGTGGCTTCATCCACATCCATTTCTTCCTCCTCCTCTTCTTCCACATCTGAGAGGTCACCTCTCTGAGCAAACAGCAGATCAGGAATGAAATGATGCATGATTTGCTTGATTTTGTACTTGTCCTCTTTCTGAATGCCTGTCTGCCTCTTCACATGATGGATAATCAGAGCAGCAGCATCTTCTAATATCTGTTTGTCTTCATAGGCCAGTGAGAGGTGAGGGCCGATAGGCACACCAGCATTCTCTTCTGTAGCCTGCTCTTGCCTCTGATGGAACAGACACAAAAGCATTATGTGACATGTATAGATAGAGCACCAATAAACTTACAAGATTGTACCAGTAATGCCAGGCAGTGGTGGTGTACACCTTTAATCACAGCACTCAGGAGGCAGAGGCAGAGGCAGGCCTCTGAGTTCGAGGATAGCTTGGTCTATAGAACAAGTTCCAGGACAGCCAGGGATACACAATGAAGCCCTGTCTAGAAAGACAAACAAAAAGACTACACTAGCAGTACATTTTATTGTTAACCATATAGAAACTAAGCACAGTGGCATCCATCTATAATTTCAGACTTTGTGAGGCTAAGGGTGCAAGATTGAGGCCAGTTTGGGCTTGGGTAGTGAGGCCCTGTCTCAAAACAGACCCACAGACAGACATGATAGTAACAACCCAATCAGAAATTAACCTTAACAGTATTTCTGTTGCTCTTCCAGGGACGGTAATTAGAGGCACTCAGAATGGTCCAGTGTTTGGACATACCACTGTAGGCTCTCCTGCAATACAGCCTCTAACAAAACTAGGCTGTCTCGAACCCTGGCAACAGGATTGTTTACCTGTACACTAAGAAGGTTGGGAAAACACCCAAAAATGCATGTGGTGTGTGCCCAGGCAGACTGCAAGGGGTTTATGCTGTGAGGTCTAAAGTCCTATGAACTGTCTAAGACAAAGCAGCTTGTTAGCAGGGTCTATGGTGGTTCCTCCATGTGTGCCAAGAGTGTGTGCGATAGGATCAAGCGGGCTTTCCTTACTGAGGAGGAGTGAAAATATTCACTGTGAAAGTATTGAAGGCACAAGCAGAGTTAGAAAGCAAAATAAATAAATAAATAAATAAATAAATAAATAAATAAATAAATAAAAAAAATTAAAAAATGCAGTTTTAAGTAATAAAAGGCTTGGTCTATGAAAAAAAAAATGCTGTCTCTCTTCCAAATATTCATAGGTACAATGTACAAATTGGCTTGATAAAAAGTTAGTACCTTCTAGTATTGAAGAGTTAAGAGATTGCCTTTAAAATTCTAGATTAGCACTTACAGAAGATACAAAATATTAGGGAGGAATTTGTCATGGCTAACAATGTTGTCAAACATAGATAAAGAAATGTTTGTAAAAGTTTACTTCCTATTTTTACAACTCAGAGCCACATTTTGAAAGCCTGATATATGGCACTTATGCATCCTACCTCCTAAGACAGGTCACAAAAAGCAAGATCAACATATTTATCCCTGAATCTTTGCTACTAATGCTGCTTACACTCCTGGTAGGCGTGCAGAGTAACAGAGTTCCCACACTTTTAAAGCTGAGGTAGATGAGATGCTCTCCACAAAAACAGAGTATTGGCTGAAAGAAGTAAACCGAAGGCAGATATGGTCAATCAGGAAACTAGAGGAAGGACTGTGTGTAACAGTGAGTCTTAGGTCTAAGGTGGTAGACCAGGAATAAAAAGCTATGATGGACTCCAGTCATGAAGCAACAGCCAGTAACTCACAGTAGCCAGGCTAAACCTAAAGACCAGAGCTGATGGAGATGCAGTCACCCAGCTCACCTCATCATAGATACTCTCGATCTCATTGAGTAAGCTCTTAGACCTCAGGACCTTGGTATCATTCTGTTTGAAGTTAATGCCTTGGTGATCCAAAGACTTCAAGTAGTACTTTTCATTCTGCTCTCGCCAGACCTTGTTAAAGCCTCTCTGGGCTTCTCGCCATTCTTCCTCTTTCATCTTCAACCTAGCAGGTTAGGAAGGGAGGCAAGTAATAGTATATGGCAAGTTACAGGGTTTAGAAATGGAAAATAAGTCAGGCTTATTTTATTTGATGAAAATTCAAACCCATACAAAATTTTATCGAGACTACTGGTAGTATGTGAGAGTTTTTCTTAAAAGGGTTTGGTTTTCCTTTGAGACGAGTCTTACTGTGAAGCCTTGGCCTGGAACATATATACAGACCACACTAGTCTCAAACTTATGGGAATTCTGCCTTCTACCTCTGGCTTCCATGAGTATTCAGAAACTGAGTGATATTATCAATGAGGTTTTTATGAGGGAGCATGAAGCCATTTCTGAGACAAGGCCTTACTTTGAAGACTTAGATGACTTGAAATTCACGATGTAGACCAGGCTACCTTTGAACTTACAGCAATTTTCCTGCCTCTGGTTCCCTAACGCTATTGAGGACTGGCTTTAGTGAGTATTTTTGAAAAACAAGTTCTTCTTGACCAACTGAAGAAACTTGCTTCTTTGTCATGACTCAGAATGTTTACTGTACTGATAGAAATGCAACGTCTAAGAGGGGGCAATTAGAAAGGAGAACTGCAAGTTCCAAGTTAGTGTGGGCAATACAGGAGGCTCCTATTCCAATAAAGTTAACACACACACACACATCCCACCTTCCTCCCCATGCACATGATTTGGGCTTTGGTAAAACATCTGTCTATCACACATTACACAAACAGTCCTAAGTTTGGTCCCGTATACTGGAAAACAAAAATAAAACCCAACCACCAGGTATGAATGCACTGCACTCTGTCATACCCTAATAAACTCACATTTTCTCTCTCTAGCACAGGAATTGAACTCAGGGACTTATGCATGTTAGGCAAGCACTACCACTGAGGTATATCTCTACTCCTTCACCGACTACCTATAAGATTTGTTCCATTTGATACACAAAACCCCTAAGTTCTAGTATCTGTCCCCAATATTTAACTACCAAGAAGAGAGAGAATTGGAGCTCAACTTAGATAACCAGATGAAAAACTGAAGCCCTACTTAATGGGACGTTGAAACTGTCATAAAGCACACAAAGCCCAAAGACACATACCTTTTAAGGACAATGGGAACAGCAATGGAGGGGTTCTTTCTCAAGCCATCAATAATATCAGCTGCTTTATCAGCATATATCCTCTGGAGTGCTTTTCGATGGATGACTTCAGAAGTACCTCCAAGGGTGTTATCCAAGCGAAATTTGGCTTGTTCCTCGGCAGACAAGCTGGAAAGTTTTTTCTGTATTGCTTCCAGAACCCGGATTGTTGCAAGATTGGTCTCTAAAACTACATCCAGCTTAAAACAAAACAAAAGAACAGAAGATGATGATCAAGCCTGAAAACAGGACACAGCAGGGCTCAGAGAATAAGGAAGGCATCAAATCCTGGGGATTGGAGTTATAGTTCCCCTGCGTGACATGTAAGGCTCTCTTACCAGTGAAGTATGAACGATGACACCTACAATCATAAGATTGTTTTCTGGCAGAAATCTCATATAAGTCGTAAAGTTTAATACTGACACATAAATTGATTAGAAGTCACCACTGGTATCACAACTGCTGTATACTGTTTAGCACAGGCCAGAGACCTAAGAAGAGACTATTCCACTGACACATTTCCTTACACTTTTGTTTATTATTCTGAGACAAGGTCTTACTATAGCTGACCTGGAACTTGTTTTGTTGACCAGACTGGCCTTCACTTTGAGGCAAGTTCCCACCTAAAGGCTAGGATTAAAAATGTGAGCCCCAGTATCTCACCTGTGAACATTTTTTTCCTACAATGAACAAGTTAAATTGTAGAAACCTGTATCAAACAGTAAAAGAACAATCCCAAAAGACAGCTGAGATTAAAGGTTCTGAGGTATTACCTTAAATATGCCTAAAAATTTTAAATATTAAGTTACTGTTTCACCTACAAGGGCAACCAACTCAGTGATTATCCTTTAGAAATAGGGTAATATGTAGCCCAGGCAGGCAACCAGCTGTCTATACAGCTAAGGATGACCATGAATTCTTAAATCCTTCTGCCTTCCCCACCCCAGGAATTATAGGTACATTCCACTGTCCTCAGCTAAAAATGTTCTTCAACTAGATTAAAAACAACCATCTATAATGAGATCTGGTGCCCTCATCTGGCATGCAGGCAAAACACTATATACATAATAAGTGTTTAAAAAAACAAAACAAAAAACCTCCCAGAGGCCAGTATGGGGGCACAAGCCTTTAATCCGAGCACTCAGGAAGGTAGAAGTGGGAAGATCACTGTGAGTCTGAGGCCAACCTGGTCTACAAAACTGATCTACAAAACAAGTCTGGGACAGGCAAGGATACACAGAGAAAGCATGTCTTGAAAACCAAAACCAAAACAACAAAACTTCCCATAGAAGACAGGTGTGGTGGTTCACACCTTTAACCCAGCACTCAGGAGGCAGGTGGATCTGAGTCCAAGGTCAGTCTTGTCTACAGAGTTCCAGAAGAGCCAAAGCTACACAGAGAAGCCTTAAGACAACAACCCTCCCATAGAAATTAACATTTACTACATTTTAGTTTTCTGTAGTGACTAACCAGCCTATTAAAATTCTACTGGTGTGGTGGTATGAATGAGAATAGGTCCAATAAGCTCATATTTTGAATACTTAGTCCCTAACTGGTGAAACTGTCTGGGAAGGGTAAGGAGGTGTGGTTTTGTTGGAGGAGG